TTGACCAATCACATTATAAGATCAGGTGTAACGTAAAATCAAAACAACGAAGTATTAAAATTATAAAATCTTTCTTTGGGTAATGTTTTGTCTGGTAACTCTGATGCTTCTGTTATAACTATAATCCAAAAAATATTGTACACTCAGTTTATTTGTCAATTTTTTCCGTAAAATTGCAGTAATATAAGAGTTACTTTTAAGCTCCTGTTCTCGTTCATATTCGAGCAGTAATCCATCTTCTTCGTCTCTGTACCCATAATAGTCAGCATCAACATTCTTATATAGGTCAGATCTTGTACGTTTTTGTGGTGTAGGAGCTATATTATTGTTGTCAGTAATAGTATTGTTGCCGGAGAAATATGATTGGCCATACTCTCGATAATAATTTATTAGATTTTGCACCTTCTTGCTCAAATAATTCTCTTACGCCCGGTAAATCTTTTGCACGTCCAAAATATCTTGATAATAATTTTCATTAGTAATCTTATTTCAAAATTAGGAATTACTTAATATTTCAAAGTAAATTAACTTAACTTACTTATAACCTCGGTTACCAGGGACTTCTTTACCTTCATAATCCAACATTTTTGGACCAACTCTCTATAATTAAAATAAAATTTAGATGCTGAAGTATTTTAAGATTATTCATTTAAAATTTGTACACATACTCTATAATCTGGACCACCAAGTTTTTTGATTTGATCTTCCCAATGTCCCTTTTCTCTCATTAATTTATTAATTTCATCATTCAGATCTCGAATTTGATAATCCGAAAGACCAGCTAACACGATTTAAAACAACATAAGAACAGAACCATTAAAGTGATGATATAAATTATATAGAGTATCATACCGTCCTGAATTTTTGAAACTTTTCTTGAAATTTCCCTAATTATCTGTTGACGCCATTTTTCCGCATCTTTTAGGCTATTACAATCAGATGCAAGATAAGGCCGTCGTTCTTTTGGTTTTACTAAACCAAGTTGAATGGCCTGGGCCTCGCGAAAACGGTAGAGCATAGATCTTAAACAGTATTGTTAGTTATCTTCCGAATCGAGAACTGGTAAATAAAATAATTTAACTCACTGGGCTTTCTCTTCATTACGAGCCTAAGATGGTTGCAAACATTACTCGATTTGTGAAGTTAACGATATGACAAACATTACACTTACCATTATGAATGTAAAAGAACGTGTTTAACAAGTATCACTGCTTCCAGGAATTAGCGATGTCGAAAAAATCCGAGAGCACGTGATCATTAATGCATCCAGATTTAATTTCCAATTAGTGCTCCAAATCGGTCAAAATTTTCAAATCGATTAGTTGTCAACTTTGTCAATTGGACGTAACTCAATGACATTATGAAAGTAGCTTAGTGGTGGCGAACAAGAACTACCCCAGGATCGCCAACAAAATTTCTATAATTTCTATGTAATTTTTACCATCACGTGATGATCGACGAAATA